ACAAAGTACTCGAACTTTCTCTTCCATATTTCATCTGCCCCAAAATTATGATAAAGCTGAAACAAAAAGGAAACGTTAAATAAATATTTCTTATTTCTTCCTTTACATATTCTTTCAGATTTTAATCCATATTTGATATGAATTCATATAACAGTCTTTTTGTGGATGACATATATATATATATATATATATATATATATATATATATATATATATATATATATATATGTGTGTGTGTGTGTGTGTGTGTGTGTGTGTGTGTGTGTGTGTGTTTGGACACAAGATTTTTCCGAAAAAATAATTTCTGTTGAAGTTGTCAATAAATGTATGTGTAGGTAAATCAAGTCTTAGATTAGTACCAATATCAAAACGTAACTTTTTATCTTCTAAAATATTCTGAAATATTCAGTGTTACTGTGTCTGTCCTGTATATATATATATATATATATATATATATATATATATATATATATATATATATATATATGTGTGTGTGTGTGTGTGTGTGTGTGTGTGTGTGTGTGTGTGTGTGTGTGTGTGTGTGGTGTTTAGGTAGCAAGCACTATTTTATATAAGTTTTATTAAAAACGACCAACAAGGTACTGCGGTTAGTTTTTTCTTTTCTTGTGTTCTTATAATATTCTTCTTTTCTCAGCATAAATTACGTAGAAATTGTACAAATGTTTTGTATGTCCGAGCGCTTTCGGCAATACTTTTACCCATTAACAAGGATGATTTTATTTATTACTTTTAACCGAATGATTTATATATGTATCTAGAGTCATAGGGGAATGTTTTAGCCCATTGTGGACATGTTCGTAGTTGACATTATTGACTATTGGCTTTTTTTCTTTTTTATTAATAATACTTCAATTAATTATAATCTTTTTACATGTGGATAAGGCTGTTATGTTTGTATTGTATGTGTATTTAAATAAGACCTAACTGAGTTACGATCAGAGAGAAGTAACGTGGGTCTTTTTTGTTAAGCATGTTGTAGTATATCCAATTTAGATTAATCAGAAACACAGTTCCTTAAAGGACATGTACATTCGTAAATAATAACATCCATGATAATGGCTAAAAGTATAGGCGAAAGCACTCGGACATAATCTAGCATGACGTTATGTGTAACGGCTATTGGAACTTGTCGGTTCCTTTTAATCAAAATTGTTCATATATATATATATATATATAGAGAGAGAGAGAGAGAGAGACATACACACGCACATCCATACATTTATATGTATGTATATATGTGTGTGTGTGCAAGCGCATGTGTGCGAGGGGTGTTGAACATTTAATGATTAGTCATTTGGGGAAGTTGGCCAGGCCTCAGGCACACACACACACACACACACACACACACACACATATATATATATATATATATATATAATTATTTATTTAAAAATATGATTCCAATTCGCGACATAAGAGGTCTCATGTGTCAAAACAAGAATTGAAAACTTCAATATAATCATTTGAATTAAACTGAGTTAAAGTAAGCTTCATATATATATATATATATATATATATATATATATATATATATATATAGAGAGAGAGAGAGAGAGATAGATATATAGAAGTCAACACTTAAAGGCGACAGTCTGTTTCATGCTATATGCAATCGTCAGGCCATGTGTGCTGTTATTTTTCTCGGCTATTTATACATATACGGGTCAGTGGTGCATTGTGGGTAGTCTATTATGGCGGTTATTTTACCGGAAGTCGTTTATTTATTTATTTGGGTTAAATTATTTTGCTTGTTTTTATTTAATTTTATTTTTTGTTTCTTATTTTATTTATTCATTTACTTATTTTTAATCGGTGTTTTTATTAACGCAGTAAAAATTTGTTTATATCACTTATTTAATAGTTTTGTTTTGGTTTGATAATTTAATTAAAGCTATTTGTTCGGTTTTGGGGTTCGTTGTTGTAGTTTATTCTAACTATTATTTTGGCAGGAACAGTTTTTAATTTGTGTTTATTTGGGTTGATTATCTTTATTTGTTATTTCTAATGGTAACTTTATCGGGATTGGTCTGTTTATTTATTTACTTGGATGAATTTAGGTCAATTTATTTTACTTGTATATTTTCCGTTTTCGATTTTTAAGTAACGTAGTATTTATTTATTTATTTTTTATTTTTATTTTATGTTATTTTATTTTATTTTATTTTTTTATCGTTATATAACAGTTATAGCTATTTTTTTCGTCCGATTTTTTGGTTTGATTTTTCAGTCTAACTAATATTTTGGTCATAATGGTTTGCTACTTTGTTTATTATTTACTTTATTTATTTGGGTTCGTTGTTTTTGTTGTTTTTTTTTTTTTTTTGTTATTATTATTATTATTATTCTATTTCGTCTATTCTGACAGGTGTGATTTGGTAATTTGTTTGGATTAATTAATTTTGCTTATTTTATAGTTATTTTGTTTACTTGTTTATTTATTTGTTTTTATTTTATTTTTTCCATTTTCAATTTTTATGTAACGTAGTAAAAACTTGTTTTCATATCTGCATTTTGAGATGAGCTCGGATCTTTTATTTAATAATTTATTTTGGTCTGGGAAAGTAATGATAGCTATTTTTTCCTCAAGCAAAGTTTGCAAAATTTTTGATTGGTTGTTGTAGGCTGATGATCTTTTCCTTATTTTCCAAGATATTTTTGGTGTGATGTGCGTTTTGTTTTTAATTTCCCAGATATACTTAGAAAGCATTGTACTGTTCGCATATTTACTATTTGTGAAAGATATTTTGTGTGTATAATTTCTTTGTTTCCAGGGTCCTAATATTAATACAACCGCCATAATAGACTACCCACAATGCAACACTGCCCGTATATGTATAAATAGCTGAGAAAAATCGCAGCACACGTGGCCTGACGATTGCATATAACATGAAACGGACTGTCGCTTCTAAGTGTTGACTTCTATGTTCACTTTTATATTTACACACGCTCTATCTCTGATATTGAGCACTTTATCCCATAAATATAGCACCTTAAGACTATATTTCTTTATTTATATATATATATATATATATATATATATATATATACATATATATATTGCAAGCGTGTGTGCGGTCTTCCGCAGGTGCCAGTGTATACATGTGTGTGCATGGGTTGTATATATATATATATATATATATATATATATATATATATTTCGATAAACGTGCAATCAATTTACAAATTCATGAATTATTCACACAAAAACAAATGCAAGGTTAATGATTTAATTGGCGAGAAACCCATCGTCGCAAACAATTCAAATAATATACAAAAACCTCCGAACCTTTTATGAATGAAAAGATCCTTGTTTCTATAAATTTCTGCTGCATTAGTTCTTATTTTTACTACAAGCTTTCGTCTGTTCCTACAGACATCTTCAGGTATGGAATAGATGTTGTTCTTGTTTTTTCTCTCAGTAATAAGAGGACAATGAAAATATATGTATTGTTGTATCCGAAAATGCTATTGGAAATGAGTTATTGTTTTTGGAGCGTGCAGTAGCAACGCTGAGTTTGATTTTAAATTTTTACAGTTAATTAAATCATTAACCTTTGCATTTGTTTTTGTGTGAATAATTCATGAATTTGTAAATTGATTGCACGTTTATCGAAATTAAAATAACTGATCCAAGTGCGACTTTTGGATAATAAGTGCGACATTACTGTAATTATTGAACAATATACTTCATGCCACTTTGACAGAAAATTTACCAGTAAAAATTCGCTTATCACCATATTTGTACAAGAACGCACAACTGTAAAAATTTAAAATCAAACTCAGCGTTGCTACTGCACGCTCCAAAAACAATAACTCATTTCCAATAGCATTTTCGGATACAACAATACATATATTTTCGCTGTCCTCTTATTACTGAGAGAAAAAACAAAACAACATCTATTCCATACCTGAAGATGTCTGTGGAACAGACGAAAGCATAGTAAAAAATAAGAAGTAATGCAGCAGAAATTTATAGAAACAAGGATCTTTTCATTCATAACAGGTTCGGAGGTTTTGTATATTATTTGAATTGTTTGCGACGATGGATTTCTCGCCAATTAACTCATTAACCTTTGCATTTGTTTTTGTGTGAATAATTCATGAATATATATATATATATATATATATATATATATGTGTGTGTGTGTGTGTGTGTGTGTGTGTGTGTGTGTGTGTGTGTGTGTGTCTGCGTGTGTCTGTGTCTGCCTGTATGTGTGTGTATATGCGTGTGTATGACCCTATAAATTTAGTTAACATTTTCATATAAAACTTGTATTAATATCAGGAATTCACTGTGTATGGTGAGCATCGAAAGTCAAGAAAAAGTGATTGGAATTGGTCAGGAATTAAGACAATACTTAATGATTCCTCACATGCCTCATGCTAGTGAGACACATAATAGAGTTATTATATGTGTGATATTCAAAATTTAAAACAGTTCATTTTAATACAAATTCATTGAGTATCAGGAAGAAAAAGTTTGTCAGTAGTTATGTATTAAAGCAATCAAACTGATAAGATAAAGTTATTACACGTCGAATGTTAATTAGATATCCTTAGGTTCGGCACTTTGGAAAGTCCCTGAAAAAAATATGCCACAGTTTGACCCAAGCTTTGCGAGTGAAATTTGGTAGATGGAATCCTCGATGGTTGTGCTAAAAAGAATTTACAAATCATCGTGACCGTAGGTTTGATTTATTGATTCATTCGATTTTTACGACTGATCAACCCTTTGCAGGTTAATTAAAGCCAGAAAATATTTTTTAGCTTGTCAGAATTTTTGTCTTTTTTGCGAGATAATAATGGTTTAATGATACAAATTTTACTAATTAACCCATAGATGGGGGAGAGAAGAGGCGGATTCATGCTTTTCATAAGTATATTTGCGCGTAAGTGAATATTACGAATCCAACATGAAACGAAACTCGGCTCTCCGATTGAGTCATTGTCCATGATACCACCTCTACATCCTAACTCATAGTACCTGGTATTCCCAAGCAGTCCCCATCTAGGTACTGGCCAGACTCGATGTTGCTTAACTTTCGGTGATCGTACGGAAACTGGTGTTTCAACGTGATGTGTCTGTAATCCCCGAGGGTTTGAGCGTACTGGCTTCGTTCAAATTGGCAATTACAATTATGAGCTCTCTCCCAGAAACCGTAACTACAATCTGTTCAGTATAGTTACGGTATAAACCATTCTGTGAATGCTAAAGAAACACTAATATGCCTGAACGAGCAGAGGGGCGTGGTCGGAAACGAGGAATCTGTCATACCTTTAAACATATAGTAGAGTTATTATATATGTGATTTTAGCATAAAAATTATTAAAAATAAAGAAAGGTCGATCGCCAGTAATTAAGGCAAGTATTATTGACAGAATAAAATTATTCTACGTTTAGTGTTAAAAATTTAGAATTAATATAAAATGCACTGAGAATCGAGAAAGGAGTAACTGTTTGAAATCCGGAATTAAAACAAGAATTAAGGCTAGAATAAAACAATCACATAGATGATTTGTTATTAATATATAAACATAAATAAGTACATTCATTTTCCGACAATGAGACAATGAATCTCACCGTGATCGATATGTCTGAAAAGTGAATCATTGATGTTGCCAGCGTTCGGCATATTTGGAAAGTGCCTGAAAAACCATACTATGGGTTGACCCAAGGTTTGTGAGTGAAATTTGGTAGACAGTACTATTTCAAATAACAGTTACAAGCCATCGTGATCGAGGGTTTGAGCGTACTAGCTTTGTTCAAAATCATAATGAGCTCTCTACCAGAAACTGTAAGTAATGTCCTCACAGTTGAACAAACAAAGGAAAATGTGCCTGAGCAGGTATTATGTAAAGGCATAGCCAAAAATGAAGTGTCGCTTGTTAGAAATGAATTTATCAATATTGAGGGAATCATGCAATATTTACAATTTATTTCAGTATTAAAGATAAGGAAAATGAAGTAGAAAGGTTAGTGGTCTGGATTTAAGACATATTTTACTCACGGAATGATTTGATGATATATGTGATGTTAAAGATTTACAGGTGATTTTAATGATTTACATGTTATTTTAGCATAAAATGCACTGGGAATTAAGGAAGAAGGTAATTGTCAGAAAGAAAAGTAAGGATTACGGGTAAAACTCCAGTATGATCAGGAGAGAAAAGAATTCAATGAGGTGAAAATGCATTGACAGTGCATTAATCTCATTAATCACGACAATAAACCCCAAACAAGGACCATACAAAATAGCAATCATCGCAAAAGCAATAATTAAAATAGTGCAATATACGACGGAGATCTACTGAGAGCGAGCTGATGTAAAAATAGACACCAATGGTCTATATATATATATATATATATATATATATATATATATATATATATATATATATATATATATATATATATATATATATATATATATATAGTTAGTACGAAATAAAATCCAAAATTAAGGTAATTTGGGATTTTATTGTGTACTAATAATTTGACCTGTAATAATAAATACATTGAGCTCTTTTTGTGGATCAGTTTTAATATACCAACGGATTTATTACATTTACTACACATATACACGCAAACACACATGCATACATAGATACATACATATATATATATATATATATATATATATATAGAGAGAGAGAGAGAGAGAGAGAGAGATAGAGATAGATAGATGACAAAGTGGGAAAAAATATTTCATGTGTAACAAGAACAATGTTGGGGGAAATGTATGACACGAAAACTTTTTACACTTTGTCATACATTTTTTACAAAATATTTTTCTTGATATATAAAAATGTATTTATAGTCATCTCTCATATATATATATATATATATATATATATATATATATATATATATATATATATATAGTTATCTCTCTCATATATATATATATATATATATATATATATATATATATACTTAGATCAACAATGAACATTTTACATTTAATGGCATAATTAACCATTAACAAGCATATAGAAAGAGACCAACCACAATACACATGGCCTGAAAATTGTCTTCAAGCATGAAACAGTCTGTTACCGCTCAGCGACCACTTTTATCTTTACGTATGCTCTATCCCAGATATTGAGCAGATTTACCTTAAAACTGTACTTAAAACTATATATATATATATATATATTATTACCTTAAAAAACTATATATATATATATATATATATATATATATATATATATATATATATATATATATATATATTGATACCATCATATGATAGCGTTTTAATGTTGAACTAGCTGCCGTCGGCCTATACTGTCTGGTCTCCAATCGTCTGTTCTGAGTTAATTTTTATTTATTGCCCCTCTTTACCTTTATTTTCCTTACTCACAGATTTGTCTTTCATTCCGACCTGAATAGAGCTGACCAAACATGCATGCATAATATATAACTATTTACTGCACAGTTAAATGATTTTTCGAGAGAAATGCATTAAAAGTAGTATGAAATTAATGCACATGATACTGACAGAATCATGCTATGAGCAAGGATGAGCTGAATGTTTCACAGCCCCTTCAAAAATGTGATATTTCTTTAGATGGTCCGGTTTTTAGTGGAATAGGTTCAAAATAGGAGAACGTTACAACATTCCCTCTATAATTAGAACTTTAATAACGCACTTTCCTATAGAATGCATTGCAAGTATTATCAGCTGAATAAACCAATGAAGAAACATCGTCCGCCATTCCTTTCTTGGAATTTACACTATTAGGGCTTATTAATTTAGCTAATTTGCCATTCAATTACACATATTCATCATAAATAAGCTGGTCTTAATTAAGGTTCATCTTTATGCTGCGAAGTAAATTTAATCATGGCTGACAACTGAAATATTGCCTCAAAAGCAACCTCACTCCTTTTCTCCTTCTCCTCTCCTTCTTCTTCTTCTTCTTCTTCTTCTTCTTCTTCTTCTTCTTCTCTGACCTAATGATCTCTGGCCTTACATTGCACTCTGAAGATTATTTCATAACAGTGAGTCCTTCTCAGACGGATCACTTCTTACTGGTCAGAGATCATTTCAAATTTAAGTGAACCTCCTGACAACTGAAACGGCTGTGACGGGAGAAAATGAGTAATTTTGATATTAGGTAAAATACATAAAAACACACACACACACACACACACACACACACATGTATATATATATATATATATATATATATATATATATATATATATAAAAAGAAAAGAGAGAGATTCTGACAGATAGTAAATATATATATATATATATATATATATATATATATATATATATATCTTTGGTGGTGATCCACGAATCTGCGTAGTAGGGTGAAAAATAATACAAAACTGAATTTACAGTAAGTAATTATTTTATTGTAAACATTATATATATATATTATATATATATATATATATATATATATATATATATAGAGAGAGAGAGAGAGAGAGATAGACACAGAGAGACAGAGAGAGACAGAGACGGAAGGATAGATAGATAGATAGATAGATAGATAGATAGATAGATAGATAGATAGGCCTGTATATATCAAATAAGTTTTATTAAGAATACTATCAGGTTCTATTCAGGTTTTCCAACATCCGACTAAATAGTCAGACTTAAAACTTCCAAACTTTCTAATGTTCCTATTTTTATCATTCGTGTGCATTCGATTATCACTACAGTTGTTACTAAGAACTACGATGTATTAGTCTGTTTAATGAAAGAGGATTGGCAAATTCATTTCGGTTTTTGTAGGTTTCTTAATTTGAAATACATATATATATACATATATCTATCTATATGTGTATATATATATATATATATATATATATATATATATATATATATATATATATATATATATATATATGCGCGCAGAAATTCCGGTTGAGAAAAGAGTAATTTTAAAAGCAGTGGTTCCTACTGCTATTAACACATTGCCCTCCAACTGAATTGAGCTCTCCGACCCACGGTCCTATATCGTATGGAAAGCGTTAAAAACCCGTTCTCTCTGCCGTATGACAATAGCCTAGGTGTAGGATCTCTGACCGATGCCAAATTGGTCGGGTGTCAATCTCTTGAAACAATTATCTGTTATCTATCAACACTGAAGAGTTGTGATGCAGCGGAAGAGTCTATCTCTGGATGACAACTTATATATATATATATATATATATATATATATATATATATATATATATATATACACACACACAATATATATATATATATATATATATATATATATATATATATTGTGTGTATTTAGGCAGCATTTTTTCATTCATACATGTTTCATTAAATAATATAGACAAGTGTTGTCTATTTATTTTATGTAAATTCTTTTCATAACGTCTGATAAGCTTAATAACCTTATCATTAAATGAAGAAAGAAAATCACAATATTGATACATATTTTTTTAATCCAATCTAAGCTTTCGGCTTACATAAGCCATTATCAAAGATGTCAATTACTGTACAATATATTAAGCAATATACAGGACTATACAGTGATGATAGTCTGTTATTGTTTACATGGATGATTTCCAAGCAACGATAAACCCGTGCATATAAGACGCTGGAAGCGAAAATCGCACCGCAGCTCATGACGTCACGCATGACCACGCAAGAGCGAATTCGAGAAGTATTGACATCTTTGATAATGGCTTATGTAATATAATAATGTTATTAAGCATATCAGACGTTATGAAAAGAATTTACATAAAATAAATAGACAACACTTGTCTATATTGTTTAATGAAACATGTCTGAATGAAAAGATGCTGCCTAAATACACACACACAATATATATATATATATATATATATATACCTCGAGGCGGTGTAATGTTTAGAAATGTTGTCTCGCTAGAGCAGTTACTATTTAGTAGTGAGTTAGATCCTCACTGGGTGCTCCCTGCTTTTGACCTTGTGCCACATCTAAGTTACGCTTGGAAAATCATTATATATTGATTGATTGATTTTTAATTCGACATTTTTATTACTTCAAACATTGTTTTTAGTGGATACCAGTGTTTCAAATAGACGCCACGTTTTTATGTTATACAGTTAGAAA